TAAACTCAAGTTAGTTAACTAACCTAAACAGTGAATAATTCACATTGTCTTTGGCATCATGTATATTGTTGTACAATAGTATTGTGCCCTTCATCTGTGGGATATCTCTCAAGATTCCTCTTGATATGACAGAAGTTTATTATTTATGGAATACAACTGTAGGACAGTGGCATTACCATATTCAGGGAAAACTATGCCTCTCCCTTTGAAATATCCTGACATCTGACCTGCATGTTGTTTCATCCTGATGTGCTGAACTTACATGGTAGGCTTGGTAAATTCTGTCATGAAGTTTATAAAAATGCCTGATCCATGTCAAATAAACAGCTACAAACACTGGGAAAAGGCTGAGTTAGCAAAACTGAAACATCTACAAAGCTCCTGAATAGTTATTAGGTCCTTCCTCCTGTCATCCTACACAAGCTCTCTCCTGCCCAGTATACATGTTGGACCATACACAAGACCAAATTCTTAAGGGAAATTTCAGGTAGACAGTGAATTGTCTTTGTATTGGGAAACAGGACACCGTTCCACCTGAAAAAGTATGGACACCTCTACTCTTCCAGAGATTTTTTTCTCTTCCTTCTCTAGCCATACTCATAATCTCTTCTGTATTTAACTAATTTTCCTCTCAATTCCTTGTGGCCCACAATATATTACTCATCTTAAATCTGGGTCATCTTCCCTCCTTAATCCCAACTGGACAGAGTATATTTATGCTTGAAAATTAGGCATAGAGCTGGCATGTAAAAAAGAATGCCTTTTAAGAAATTCAGTCTTCTCAGCTTTGGGGTGTGTGCAGCACCACCTCTTTCTTCCCTTTGAAAGGAGCAATTAATCCCAGAATGGCTAACACAATGTACACTCAGTTTATGAGTCTCATTGGAACCAAGGATTTGGCACAAGAACTTGGACTGAGGAATCCACTAAAAACTTGGCCTTCAAGGAGCTAGTTCTGTTCTGCTTGTCTTGGGCATCTCAAAGGAAGAATGGAACAATTGCTGCACGCAATTAATGATTCCATTGCTGTGTCCTGCCTCTTCCCCAGAAAGATCATCATTTCCTGGTATATCATGGCAAGAAAACATTATGCTATTTATGCTTTGTCTAAGTGATGGAACTGAGGGAGAGACAAGCATTAAATCACTTCTCAGATTTAATTGTTTTTTGGCTAGAGGAGCTCTTTAAGCAGCTTGATTTGAAAAAGCTTGGCCAAAAAGAAAGTGTTTAACTGACAGGGTTCATTAATGGCATACAAGAATTACTTCTTTTAGATTTTCCCAAAGAGAAGATGAATGGATGGATGGATGGATGGATGGATGGATGGATGGATGGATGGATGGATGACTCATCTTTGGAAAAGTCACCTCAAAATGTAAAACAGTGAACCAAGAAAGGGCTTCCCATTGTAATGTGACAAGTGACTGTTTAACCACGCTGTTGACCTCTACCTGGATCAACAGTTTACTGCAGGAATTGCAGCCTAGTGCTGAGCAAGGTCAAGATGGCCAGGTCAGCAATATGGCAAAGGACAGAAAGAAGCTACATACACTATGCATTTTGCATAGATTCTCCTGAAAACTTGAGCTGCTTAATGCAGAAATATTTTATCTGATATATAAGTTAAATAGTCCTTATAAAGTGCCTGTCATGATCCTTGAACAATTTGTTGCTCTTCGACAATATACAAATTTCACGAAACAAGGATGTGAAGAGATAAAATTTCAAATTATCTAATTTTGGGCACCCAAAATCAAGACTGAAAGACTTTGTGTATTCTGAAAATTGGTTCTGCTTAAAGAATTTTAGGTTGAATATTGAGCCTTAAACCATGCCAAACCTCTTCTCAGTTTGGAAAACCTCATTCTTTATGTTCCAGTCATTGCTAACTGTATTGCTGCCATCCAGCAGCCAGTGCTACTGCTGTTAAATGAAGTGAGACAGGCCATCATTCTTGATTTGGCTTTTTTTGCTTTTTTTTTAGGGGATGGATTATATGAATTGCTATACTTATGATAGAGCTTAAAAACTCCTCTTCTCTTCTCTTCTCTTCTCTTCTCTTCTCTTCTCTTCTCTTCTCTTCTCTTCTCTTCTCTTCTCTTCTCTTCTCTTCTCTTCTCCCTAGAGGTGTGCATGGTGTTTGAGACAACCTCAGGGCACAGGGCTGTAGTGGCTTTGAAAATGGGCACCTGATTTGGTACAGAAATGTCCTATTTTGATACAGAAAACTTCCTGTTCTGGCAATTAGAAATCATAGTAGAGAGGAACCTAATGAATGACAGTAATAATTCTTAATTCTTTGGAAATGTAAATCGTGCGATGGGGTGGCTTGACTCATGTTCAAATCACTTCCTTAATGATGAAACCCCTGCCAGTTTCATATAGTTCATTATACATTAAAATAGAATATAGACAGACTTGGTTAGTTTTGAGTATAGAGCCTACTCATTTACTTGAAAAAATCAGCACCTAGTCATACCAATTTGATATGCTTTACAATGCTGGCAATTACAATAGGCGACATAATTTTAAAAATAAATTTTATAAAAGAATTTTCCAGTTTCTTTCTCAAGACAGAAATTAGTCAAGGAAGTTACTCACACAAGGGGAGATTTCAGTGCTGAAACATTTAGATGTTCTGCAGCCTGGTGATATTCAGAAATTCAAATCAGCTTCTCCTAGTCAGAATGTAGGGAGATGGATTATCAGAAAAACCACCACTTCCCCAGATGCACTGGCCTTCCTTGAGGGCTCCTCCTTATACTTGGCTCTCAGCTAAAGGGAAGGACTTATCCCAGTTGAAGATTAGAGCCAGAATCCTTTTTTTTTTCCAAACAGAGACCTTTCTGTTTTCAAAATTGCAGTCTTCATGTTTTTAGGCCATGGCTGAAGGTGTTCTTGGACAGTGAAAGTCACTCAAGTTATAGGCCACAGCACTTGCTCTGGCTGAGCACTACAGAGTGTTCCTCCTGTTCAGTTGTCTGTAGGGTGTTAAGGGTCTTTTATTTCCTCACGTTAAAGTGTGTTCCTGTTGCCCAGAGTTTGTCTAATATTCATGGTGCTGGGGATGTATGAAGGAATGCCTCTACCACCCTGTGCACGCCAGGGCTTAGGTTACTGCATGGTACTGACAACAAAAATTATTGTGTTTGCATGGCAGGGTGTTTTTTCATGGATATTTAATCTTTATGTCTTTCTACATCTCCTGGAAGCAGAAATTTTAAAAAAAGGACAAATCTGATTAAGAAAAGTATTCACATCTGTTTAGTCAAGGTTTATGCAAATGGGAAGCACCTTCAATATTTGGACTAAATTGCTCTCATTTCTTACTATTTGAATTAAATGGTACATTAAAAAAAAGTCAATACTAGTTTTTCAACGATGTTTTCAAACCAACAGATATTTTTGCAAGGAAATAATATAAATGCTGTTATATGGACTTTTTAATTTTTAGTACAGCAGATATGCAATATAAAGCCATTCATGCACCTGTATCTTCTCTCTATGCATATCCATGTTCCCCGTTAATGAAAGTTGCACACAATACAGGTGTCTTTTTGCTAAATTTCTAGGACTTGATTCCATATTTCATTCTTGGCAGTTATCTGAAAAAAAGGCCACCAAAAAAAGGCAAAAAAGAAAATTTCAGTGTGAACTGAAACTCTTGTGATGAAAACACCTGTTTGTTTTTTCAAGAGTGCCATTGGCACTCTTACCTCTGATCTGCTTCTGTAGAGGTGATGTTGTGGGCTGACCAGGCAGCTGCATGACTGTGCAATGGAATTGCAATGGAAGGCATTGCAGTAAATAGCACAGATGACAACCTAGTTTATGAGTAATCCCCAGCGTGGTGCTGAGTGATGCTCTTAGCTGTCCTTCATATCAGAAGTGGTCAAGATCCCCATCAGCCACCGCCTCTGAGAGTCCTATGGCATTTTCCATGAAACTAGACAGATTACTGTGATTTCATTTCCATTCAAAGTACACTCTCTGTGACATTTATGGCTACACTGAGACAGAGTCTCTTCTCAAAAGGAGAGTAGAGATAATTTTGTATTTCAAGGGGACATGTTTTAATCCCCTTTGGGGTTTGCAAAGCAAATGTGCGTTTAATTGATTACAATTTACAAGAAACTTACAGTTTCTTCCATTTGTGCATCTGTGTAAGTGCCAAGCAGCAAAAGGCACTTAAAGGTTTACTGTAGTCCCAACAGCCAACAATATCTGAACATTTCATAGTGAGACACAGAAATGAGGCAGGTGGCCAAGAGCACATATGGCAGCAGTGACATAAACATACGGAAATTACACTTGAAACATGAAGTGGGTGGGTCATATTTACTAAAACAAATACCTTGGATTTTAGGGGCAAAGCATTTTCTGAATGAGGATGATTCTTCCATATGTGTGCAATTGGAGGTTTTGTGAAGTATAAATTGTACTCTGTTAGGAAAAACAGATGGGGCACCAGCACATCTTTAAAAAAACAACAGTCTACTAAAGCTATCAGTATTTTTGAGTACAGCATCTTTAAACCGTGAGACTGTTGGTTATGTGCTGTTTTGCTTTTTGCCCACTCATAGAACAAGTATGTACTTCTGTGCCAGGGCTCACAAAGGCTTACAGCTCAAACTTGATGGCTTAAATAGAGCTCTGAGAGGGCTGGGCAGCACAACAGTGTGCAGGCTGGGCTTTGGGAACCCTTAGCCTCAGGAATGCTGTGTGACCTCTGCCTCTTATTCAGTGGGTGAATGGAATGAGCTGTAGCCCAGGACTTACACTGCAAGCACTTCAGTAGCTCAACCTTGTCAGCTTCCTTTGCTTGACTAAGCTTCAGTGAACAAAAGAAATTAAAACCTCAAGGACCTACATTTAGATACAAACTGAATTTCTGAACTTCTGGTTGCTAACAGAATGAAAGCAAAGCAGAACTTCCTTCAAAAATATAAAATCTTTAATAAAGTACATAAATTCACATTCTTCCTTGTAAAGTACATTACCTGAAGTACAATCATTGACTACTGAATTGGGGTTTGAAGATCACCTTTTTCTCTACCCACTGTTCATGTTCAGGTTAATCAGAACTTCCAGTGAAGATATTTCTTCCTGCCGGACCGCCAGCTAAAGAGAATCAAAAATAAGTGGTAGTTAGGATCCCCTAAGTGGTGAAGTTACATTACAGATAATACCTCTACAATGTATCACTCACTTCACACAGAGAAGAGGAAGAAGATGTCCCTTAACTGATGCATTGGTGCAGAATTTTAGAACGTGAGTAGTGCTTTGGCCACTCGAATTTTAAGTTATCTAAATGGCAGAGATTCTGTCATCTTCCATAAGCAACCTCTGCATTCATGCTGAAACAATCTGCTGCTACTCGAAGTTTTTCTCTGTTAACTTTTATGCCATTGCTATTGCCCTATACTACCTATATCATTCTTTTCCCTTGCTGGTAGTTCCATTTTTGATAGTAAAATTGCTCTTAAAACACTGGGATTTTTGTCTGGCCTTTTATGTTACACACATATTTGCAGATCATAGCTGATGAAAAATTAACATTTTTCCAGGTGCTCTCCTAAGACTCCGACCATGTGCCTACCAAAATTAATAGCGATAGTTTGTTGAGTACAACAGTAGAGAAATAAACTTTCGTTAAAATCAAGCCTGCTACTATCCTAGTTATTATCCAGCAGCAAGATCCTGGATGCAGCAATTTCAATAATGTACTGCCCACACAAAAAACCCCTAAGTTATTCCTGGGATCACTGTCATAATAACGGCAGAATTAAGCCTTAGGCATGTAACTGCTTACCCAGCTACAAGGAAAACATATTTAACCTGTAAAGTTTGTGTCTTAAGCTTCGGAGCTGAGACTGCTATCATGGGAGGCAGCTAAAGAAAACACATACGTTATTTTTCTGGCTGTTCATTTTGAGCACTTGGCAGCCCTTTGTGAATAGTTAGCATAATTTCTCCCCGATCCTACTCTTTCAGAAAGCTCAAAAGGAAATGAAAGATATATACATATATATATATATATCGTACCTACAGAGGAGTTTGAATAGGTTTTTCGGAGTATTTTGCCAAGCCTGTGACAAAACATTAAACTTGCCAAACCCTTCGCGCAGTCACCGCGCTCACTCTGGAGGGGGACAACGAGATGCAAGGGGTGAACGCAGCGCCCATTTCCGCGACACGGACGATGCCGCTGCTGTCAGCCCCGTGCCGGGGCTCCCCGCGCCCCTCTGTGGGGTGGGGTGGGGCACCGCCCTGCCACGTCCGACAGCCCCAGCGGAAACCCGCCAGCCTCCGGGGACCCACCACAAGCTGCCGCCCTGCCTCTCTCCCTCCCTCCATCCCCGGCTGAGCCGCCCCGCTCGCCTCCTTTGTGTCCGCGGCCGCCGCCCCTTCCCCGCGGGCGGGGCGGAGCGGGGCGGGCCGGCGGGGCGGGGTCGCGGCTCCCATAAGAAGGGGCCTGGCCGCGGCCACCGCCCTTCTTCGCCGCACACCCCGATCGTCCCGCTCCGCTCCCGGATTACAAAGCCCGCGCCGCCGTCGCTATGAGTATCAGCACGAAAAACTCCTCGTACCGCCGTATGTTCGGCGGGGGCAGCCGCCCCAGCACCGGCACCCGGTACATCACGTCCAGCAGCCGCTACTCGCTGGGCAGCGCCCTGCGGCCCAGCAGCGCCCGGTACGTGTCCGCTTCGCCCGGCGGCATGTACGCCACCAAGACGACGTCGGTGCGGCTGCGGAGCAGCATGCCGCCCATGCGGCTCCACGACTCCGTGGATTTCACCCTGGCCGACGCCATCAACACGGAGTTCAAGGCGAACCGCACCAACGAGAAGGTTGAGCTGCAGGAGCTTAATGACCGCTTCGCCAACTACATCGACAAGGTGCGCTTCCTAGAGCAGCAGAACAAGATCTTGCTGGCCGAGCTGGAGCAGCTCAAGGGCAAGGGCACGTCCCGCCTGGGCGACCTGTACGAGGAGGAGATGCGGGAGCTGCGGCGACAGGTGGACCAGCTCACCAACGACAAGGCACGCGTGGAAGTGGAGCGGGACAACCTCGCCGACGACATCCTGCGGCTGCGGGAGAAGTGAGTGTGCTTGGGGGACGCGGGTTCGGGCTGCCGGCGCCTCCCGCTGCCTCCCCCCGCCCTGTGCCCTGGAGCGGAGGCAGCCTCTGAGCATCCCGGGCGGGCGGGAGGCTGGGCTGGGGGATTTGGGTGACCCCCGCTCCCTCCTCACCGCTGTCTTGGCCTTTCCAGGTTGCAAGAGGAGATGCTTCAGAGGGAGGAGGCTGAGAGCACCCTGCAGTCCTTCAGACAGGTTAGCGGTGCTGGAGGAGGGAGGGGCCGAGGAGGTGCTGGCTGTGCCTGGGGCGGAGGGTGGGAGTGCAGGAGTTTGCTTTCCTTGCACAAAGAGATTCCGTCAGTTCTCACGCGGGCCCTCCGTGTTTTCTTTAGGGGGATGCTGCAGTCGGAGGGGAGGGGAGGGAAACTATTGTCCTGCTTTATCCAAGTCTAGTCCGTTTTACAAAAAACGCCCCAACGTGGAATCACTTTCCGATCCAATAAAAGTGAAAGGGGCCCATCTGCTCGCTTGGCTGAAGGGTATTAATGGTTTCTATGGGATTCACCGTGGAATGCAGATACAGGCATTATGGCAAGTGTGGTGGCAGCAGATTGAAATAATAGATCCCTTTGTGTGGGGCGGGGGGGCGCAGTGGGCTGCATTCTTACTAAATGTGTAATGGTGCGGGAATATTTCTAGCGAAATGTGTCTATTATGGGCCAGTTTTTGTACAAAACAGAACTCCTTTTTGATGATTCACTGATCAGTGCATTACTGGGTAACAGTTTCAAGTTTAAGGTTTTTCATGTGGGTGTTGTCTGCTGACAAGAAGTACACAATATGTTCCTTGGGGCGAGGTCACAGAATTGAGTTTGCCTCCACTGGGTGTTCATTAAGAATGTGGAATCTAATCCTCTGTAAAACGAAGATGCTAACCTAGGAAACAAGTTACGTTAGAATTTAGTCTTTATAGGATGCTGTGATGTTATCTGGATAAAGTAAACCTACATGACAACCAGAAACAACTGTGCAAACAGGGTTCGAAAATTCTTAAGCTCAAGTTTTCACTTGTGCAAAACCAGCTTTCAACTTAGATTAAGCCTTGTTTGGACTAAGAGATATTTAGGAATGTGCCTTCTCAAAACAAGGTCTCTTCCCTAAAACTGCTGGTGTAAAACAGCATTGTTAGCATTCTTCCAGACTGGAAGTGACTGCCTTTATCGTCAGGCAGCTGGCTACAGGCTGACTTAGTCCCAGAGCTCTTCATAAGCATTAGCAGAAGTCACTATTCAGGAAATCAGCACTCAATTGTCAGCGTTTCCCTGGGAAAGGCTTTTGACTGCAGTATGTTTACAGTCCTTGAAGGAGAGCAGGTGTGTTCAAGAGATAGTGTGGGGAAAACTGAAACACCTACTCCCATTCAGAGCCTGGGAATTCAGTCTCCACGGGCATTCTGGGGACAGAAGTTTAAACAATAGTTTGAGATACTGCCTTAATTTAACCTTCTGGGGTTTTTTTTTGAATGCTGAGACAATTTAATGTAGTATGAAGTTCTATGAAGGAGCATTTAACTTAAGTTTAGAGAACATCATCAACTCTGATTCATTGCTGAATTCAGTTGAAGGATCAATTGACTTAAGGTTGGCTTTTACATGATCTTTCATATTAAATTGGTGCACTTTAAGCATGTCTGTATTTCAATCCAGTTGAATCTTATGAAGGCTCTAGGCTTTAAAGTGAATTTGGCTTGGTGTGCATACCCCACACTGATTATCCAGCTCTTCCCTGTACTTTGGAAAGGGGTCACTCAGGAGCTCAGCCTCTAGCATATGTGTGCATGCAGGACAGTCAGAATTGGATCAGTTTAATCTCCTAAACTGTAGCTTGTGCATAAGAAATGCAAATCATTGTCTATGAGAACTCTACACTGCATCCACTCATGACATAACTGGTGTAAGCTGGTGTGCTTGATTTGAACATCACTCATACCTCATTTTTCCCCACTGGCAGGGGTAGAGTTAGCATGCAGGTTTTGAAACCTAACTCTGTTTCAGTGTAAATTTTGTTCTTTTGAAGGCGAATTTAAATTCACAGATCACTGAAGCTGAAATATCCTGTTGTGCTTTTCATTTTTAAACAATGCACAGTTTTCTATTAAATCATATTTTTCCACTGGAAAGTTGTATAATTGATTTGCTGGTCTTGTGTATCATCAACACTACTTTTTACTTGATGGAGCAGTTGTGTACTTGAGTATTTTAAAATAAAGAACAAATATTTGAACTTAAGCTTTTATTTCCAAAAGCTGCCTGTTTCAGAGACTGTTTATATGTACTGAATTTTATTTCTTCTGGGCAAAGATGTGATTTTACTCATGTGCAGAGGGGTGTACTGCATAAAGTATATGTGAAAGTTCAGTAAGGACTTTCCTTTGAGGCAGGACAAGCATCCCAGTTAGTGAGAAAGTTCCTGCAGCTTTGCCAGCTAGTCTAGCAGCAAGGAATAGGTCCTGAACCTATTCCTAAGGCAAGCCTAACAGGTCAGGTCCTGGCTAACAAGAGGAGTGAAGTAAACATGCATGCTCAACCCTGCAGAGTGTGTGGCATGCATTGAAGAATCTCCTAGGATAAAATCAGTGCCTACTCCAACTGCATGTATCTGTGACTTGTACTTGTTTGTTCAGGCTACAAGTAGCCTGTTCATTTATGTGGTTCTCCACACATCTGGGAATTACTGAAACACGGAATCTTAGTGATAGGGAATACATAAATGATGGCATATACATACCATATGTTGTGTCTTCAGTTTAAATTGTTTTCAATTTACTGTAAGGTCCTAAAATCCTGTAGCTATTCAGTTGTTATAAAAAAATAATAGCTTCAGCGTGAAGATTTCTGTAAAATCCTCTAGCAGATCTTTGGATGTCTGGCCAATTATGTAAACACATTGGGTCACAGCCATGTAATTTTCTGCCAGAACGATCTTGAGGGGTTTTTGGGGGGAGGAGAACAAATTAATTAGGAAATTCTTTCCCTGAAATGAAAAGCAGAGCTGATGTGAACTGTGTGTGTAAAACTGGAATTGGTAGAAAAGTTATGGAATGACGCACGAAAGGGGTATTTTGATGGATAAAGTAAACAGAATAATTCTTCTGGAGCAAGGACCTTACCCCAGAGTAGGAGTGATCTAAGGAAAGGCTTTCTAGGAGTCTAAAAAAAACGCTCCTTTTTTCAAGGGTGCCATAATAAAGAGAACTGCTGATTAGGAATGCTTATACTTTGGGCAATCCAAAATAGCTTTAGAGTAAGCTGTGAGAACCTGATATGTTAATACCCTGTGAGCACAAGCATGTGGCTGTGTATGTAACTAGTGTGAAAGGAACAATCTTCCCCTTTGCAAACTAAATGCCCTACACATTCAAAATGTAATAAGTTGCCAATCAATGTTTAGTCTTATGTTTTTGAACTAATTCAAGTTGATCCCTTGTAACATTCATGACGTGTCTTCTGTTATGCTCTAAATGAATTTTTGCTGTTGATTAAGACTATCTCTGTCCAGCAAAAGGTGGAGTCTTTGCCAGCAGCTGAGGGTGTAGGCAATGATGAGCTGCTCAGTTTGTGTTTATGCTCATACCTTCTTTTTCTCAAGGGAGAACTGTTGACCTGCATTAGGTGAATGCTGCAGTTCT